TCTAAGGAACCTGAAGGTGCATAAATCCATGAGACCTGATGAGATGCATCTGTAGGCCCTGAGGGAACTGGCGGACAAAATTGCTAAGCCACAGTCCATCATATCTGAGAAGTCCTGGCAGTCTGGTGAAGTTCCACTAACTGGAAAAGGGGAAACATAACCCCCATTTTTAAAAAGGGAAAAAAAGGAAGACCTGGGGAACTACAAGCTGGTCAGTCTCACGTCTGAGCCCAGCAAGATCATGGAGCAGACCCTCCTGGAACCTATGCTCAGGCACATGGAAAATAAGGAGATGACTGGTGACAACCAACATGACTTTATTAAGGGTAAATCATGCCTGATAAATTTGGTGGCCTTCTACGATGGCAGGTTCCAGTTTTGGTGGATAAGGGAAGAGCAACTGACAACATCTACCTGGACTTGTGCAAAGCATTTGACACTATCCCGCATGACATCCTTGTTTCTAAATTGAAGAGACATGGATTTCATGGGTGGACCACTCAGTGGATAAAGAATTGGCTGGACAGTCACCCTCAAAGAGTGGTGGTCAACGGATCCATGTCCAAGTGGAGACGAGTGATGAGTGGCGGTCCTCTGGGGTCGGTATTGGGACGGGGCACTGCTTAACAGCTTTGTCAGTGACATGGACAGTGGGATCAAGTGCACCCTCAGCAAGTTTGCCAACACCACCAAGCTGTGTTGTGTGGTCAACATGCTGGAGGGAAGGGATGCCATCCAGAGGGACTTTGACAGGCTGGAGAGGTGGGGCCATGTGAACAGCATGAAGTTCAGCAAGGTCAAGTGCAATGTCCTGCACATGGGTCAGGGCAATCCTGACCACAACTACAGGCTGGGTGGAGAACAGATTGAGAGCAGTCCTGAGGAGAAGGACTTGGAGGTGTTAGTGGACAAGCTCAACATGAGCCGGCAATGTGTGCATGCAGCCCAGAAAGCCAACTGTATCCTGGGTCGCATCAAAAGAAGCGTGACCAGCAGGTTGAGGGAGGTGATCCTGCCCCTCTACTCCACTCTCATGAGACACCACCTGGAGTACTGCGTCCAGATCTGAGGCCCCCAGTACAAGAAAGACATGGAGCTGTTGGAGCGAGTCCAGAGGAAGGCCATGAAATGATCAGAGGGCTGGAGCACCTCTCCTGTGAAGACAGGCTGAGAAAGTTGGGGTTGTTCAGCCTGAAGAAGAGAAGGCTCTGATGAGACCTTCCAATACCTAAAGGGGGCCTGCAAGAAAGCTGGAGAGGGGCTGTTTACATGGGCATGTAGTGATAGGACAAGGGTTAATGATCTTAAGCTGAAGGAGGGTAGATTTAGATTAGATATTAGCAAAAAATTCTTTACTGTGAGGGTAGTTTCCACCTCTTATGATTTCTATCTCTTTCCTCCCCTGTCCTCCTGCAGAATAGACTGCCTCTTCTGATTCTTCCTCTCTGCTCCTCTCAAGAGCAGCTGCTTCTTCTCTTAGTAGCTAAATTGAGCTCTGCTTCCACTGTTTCTTCATGAGTACAGGAGCTATGGATTTGGTCTCTGATTTACCGTTTCAGTTTGTGTCGCCTCAGAGCACGAGACCTTGTCAGTGCCCTTTTGTGGGCTCTTAGATCAGGACACCCTCTTACATCTCTGAGGGCACTGGACAGTAGCTTCATAGGCATGGGTCAGGTCCCAACACAGCTTTAGAATTCACTGTATTTCACCTCCCCTCCTTGGGGGTATGGTGTTTTAGTCTGATGGGTTTACAAGCCTATTCAGGTGTGAAATCCCAAGCTATCAGAAGCAGTAACAGCCCTATGCACCTGCCCAGCTCCTCCCATACACCCTACCACCCCAGGGATCAATTGCCTTAGAGCATGTATGGCATCCCCAATTAGTTGTTTAACCTTACAAACAATAATGAAAATCAGGGTCACAACACACACCGGTATGAACGGTCTGATTACATGAGGATGTTGAAGGAACTGAGAAGCCATTACATCAAAGGCTATAAAAACCTGTCCTGGAGGAAAGGAAGGGATAGGTGCCATTCTTTCCTCTTTCCACAAAATGTCTCTCAGAGGACAAAAAGGGAAAGGTATAGTTGCTGGTTTTGTCCATGAAATGGTTCTAGAGTACTGGGACACCAGCCCAGAGCCAAATACCAGATTAGGCTGAAAGCCAGTGATTTTATCATAGCTCTCCAAAGCAAAGAAAAATAAAATTATAAACAACACACTAAACAGCAAAATCCAAAAACAGTCATTAATAATTCTTGGAGTCTGATGTATAGCTAGAAAGGAATCAAGCATCAGAATATTTGAGGAAACACATAAGTCAGCACCCAAAGTAAATAAGCTAGCGTCATGATCTGCAACAGCCACTCAAATAACAACTAAAGAGGTATAACAGCTAGAAGTTTAATCTGGCACTCTCTAATCAAATCTGTTATTAACTTGAAGGCCTTGAGCTCCATCTTGGGCACCAAAAAAGACTGTTGTGGGTTAACTCCAGTAGGCAGCTAACACACACAACCACTCACTGACTTCCCCCCTCAATCCCAGTGGGATGGGGGAAGAGCAAAGGAAGACTAAAAGCAAGAAAACTTGTAGGTCAAGATAGAAATTGTTCAATTAGTGAAGGTGAAGTGGAAGAAGAGAGAAAGAAAATTAAAAAAACCCAAATGATGCAAAGGCAGTCACTCACCACCTCCTAGGCTGACTGATGTCCAGCCAGTTCCCAGGCAAAATATGGCTAACCTCCCCAAAATTCCTCCTCTGCCTTTTAATTGCTGAGTATGATGTTATATGGCATGAAATATCTCTTTGGTTAATTTAGGTCATCTGTTTGGTTGTGTGTGTGTGTCCCCAACTTTTTGTGGGGGACATAGGCAAAAACAAAGAAATGCTGACGTTGTGCAAGCGCTGTTCAGTAAGACCTAAAACATTAGTGTGTTGCAGTGCAAGTTGTTGTTTGTGCAGTCACAAATCTAAAACACAGCACCTTATGAGCTGCTATGAAAAAAATTAACACAATTCCAGACAGACTTAGCACACTAACACAGCCAAAACCAAAAATCTAACAGATAAAACAGCTCAGTCTCATTAGAATCATCTTGAACCTGACTAGCCAAAATATAACATTACATTACCTATCTCTATCATGAAGATGATTGCCTATTCAATCATCCATTAAAAACAAGCTATGTCCCAGGGATTGGACAAACAAAATTATACAAGATTGTGAATTAAACTTAAATTGTTAAATTAAGTACAGGTAAGTGTAACAGTTTTACATCTTTCAAAATTGAATCCAAGTTTTAGCAAACTGCTGTTTCACATAGTTATTTAAATAATCAATATAAAATTAAATACCTGGCATTTCTTTAGTTCCCTCTTTAGCTGAAGAATTGTGATGTGATGTGGCTCTTGGCTGGTCCCAGTCTCTGTGTTAGTTTCCTGCATGGTGAGAGCTTCCTTCCTCACTTCCTGTACCATAGTGATCCAGCTCTGCAACCTGTCCCGCTGACTTCTTTTTAAGGTAATATCATCATTCAAATCAACCAGAAATGGGAAGGCTTCATCTACACAATTTCTATAACTGAAACATTGAACCTGAAGCCGGGTAAGCTGCTCCTCAAGTGAACTGATACGAGTTCTTTCTTGATTTAAGTCGTGTGAACACTGATTACTCACTTGCTGGTTCTGCAGAGCTTCTCGAAGCAATCTGATTTCAAGTTCCATTTCATCAATCCGGTCTTGATCAGGGTTGTAATTTACAACTGGTTTATTTCTAATGTTTTTTGCTCTGTTGGCATATTTGAGGGAATTTAAGGATTCATCAAAGTCTGATGAGGATGGACTTATACATGTTATCATCACAGTCTTGGCATTTCCTCCAAGGGAGTCTTTCAGAATACGAGTGATTTTAGCATCCCTGTATGGAATATGTACGCTTTTCCTTTTTGGGTCTCCAAGGGCACTGATGACATTTCCCAAGGCCAACAGACCACTATTGATCTGAATTGATTCTTTGAAGCGTTCACCAGTATTTCCAGTCTTTGTCACCCTCTCTGATCCTGCCAAATCCACAAAATGAAACTTTGAAGCGATCATCTGGACTGATTTCCAAGATGAATCCTGTGCAGCATCAGTATTTCTCTGAGACTCTGCAGACTGTTTCTGACAAATACTGATGGTAAAAATGGCATGAGATCGACTAGAGTGCTCATTCATTTGTGTTGTGCCTGTGTGACGAGCTGCATTGCCACTTTCCAACAGGCTTATCACTTCATCTGCACATTCTACTTGGAATTCCTTAGCACCGACAATCACTTCAAACACCAAACCAAAAAAAGTAAGAATAATTCAATTAATTCTAAGCTCTTCAGCAAAAGTTTACAGCAATTAGGAATAGTCAAACTATAAACACAAATTAGAGAAATATACAAGCCTGCATTATTATGAGGCCATAGAATACAGCTATAGAAAAATAAGACATAGGTATGTGAAAACCATGAGGTACAACACTTCTGAAACCTGCAGATATTTAATATATGAGTATATAGTGACATAGCATTTGAAACAATATCTTAAACACGATACATAGCTTTACTTATTTACACATTGCTATATTCAGTTTGCAATCCAGTGCCATCTAGAAAAAATATGAGCAAGGTGAACTCTAAGGATATTTTGCCAGTTTAAAAAAAAAAAGACTAAAAATAAAAGAAGTTTGTAGCAGAAATTATTCCTATCCTATGGTAAGAATAGAATTTCTGTTCTATATAGCTTAGGTAGTTGGGCCTTTTGGACAGGTATCTATTAGTAATCTAATAATGTGGAAGTGTACTTCTACCAAGTACTCCTACCAAAGCACTCCTACCAAGCATATTTTTTGTCCTTTGTTTTAACGAAGATGGAAAATGTCCTAGCACAACCAACTGAAGCTGACTCGAACTGTACTAAAGAAGAGAAATACTTAAAAAATATTGTGGGGTCCTTATGAAGCAATGACAGTCTGCACGATTTGTGCTAAATTAGTGCCTTCTTCCAGCTACCGACAAGAAAACCATGCCAGCTCAATGCAACAATGTATTAATATTAGAGCAAACACAACAATTAGACTATTAAAAACAAACAAACAAAACCAAACAAACAAACCCAAACAGATGATACAATTTCAAAATAAAATATCTCTGCAGTGGATTCTTTAGCATTTTCATGTAGTGGACAACAGAACTACAGTATTAAGTTTTAATTTCAAAGCCTCCAACAAATATTAGATGCTACTCTTAATTAAATGTTTTCTTCTACTCATTTCATAATGAATGGAGGGCAGATATTTACGGTATAAGTGGCTTAACAATTATCATTCTGAAGTAAGTAGCAAAGGTTTAACCTTGAAATACTTATTCAAGTGAATAATGCCACACTATTGTGTTTCTAGACAGAATCTGCAGAAGCAATAACCGTATTTCTACTTTAACATTTGTTGCCATTTCTGATGGAACATCTATATCATTCACAGGCATCTAAGCCCAAAACTGATTCAAATCAGCTAAACTGAGTTTATATTCTGAAAATGTAACTTTTTTTTCTAGTATTAGTAATGAATAAGCTCTTTCAAGAGAAGACAAGAATAACTTGGCACACAACTGAAACCAAACATACCAAATTTTAGAGCTGAAATCCTACCTGTATTTCCCTTTTCATCTTCTCGGATATGTAATTCTTTCACAGATGTCTCCAACTCTAATAAATCTCGAAGTTCTTCCTTGTAAACCTCTATATAAGATACTTTCACATGGAAGTCGATGTTACGGTTTTCAGAAATATGCTGAAATAATTCCTGAATAGCCCGTGGGATTATGCCCTTTTCATTCTCTGCAATTGATGCTAAAATATAAGCAAAGATGTCACAGAAGCTTGCAGTCATTCTGCTGCATAAATTACAAAGACTGAAGATTGAGAGAAGTCTGTGAGAGTTGCTACTCATACTGAGGAATGTGAAGAGTGCAGTGTTCCCAAGGATTTTTATAAATATTTGGTTTTCTGGGGTTCAGAATATTTATTTGCATCCATTAATAGGATTCAAAGTTAAGTTCTAAGTCACAGAATGTTATAGTGGTGAAAGTTATGAAAAATATGGAGTCTACTTTAAATCTGTACTCCTAGGAGTACAGATTTCATCTCTATTCCTACTAATTATGGTTCTCAAGGGTTTGAGAAACTATAAATTCCACTAAAATAGAGCAAAGACCATTAGGAACTTGGTGAGACAAGATTTATGACCAATGTTAACAGTAATTTCCTATTTTTTCAAAGTAGATATGGAACACTAATGCCAAACTCTGTTTTTTTTTTTGGGGGGGGGGGGTTGTTAATTTTCAGCATAGGACAATGCTTCCATAAATAATTTGTGTTCTTCATTCAAGCATATGGAAACTAACTCTTTGTCTATGAGAGGATCCCAAGAATCTTTTTTACTAAAAAAACCAAAAAAGTTGCTCACATCTAAGTATAAATTCAGTAAAAATACATATAAACCCAAAATTGCTGAGCTATGAACAACCTTAGATTGTGACATCCACTACCTAAAGAATTTGGCTGGCAACGGTACTTACAAAAACATTAAACAACTACTACAAGAGGAAAGACAAATGGAGTTACAACAGTAAGCAGAATTAAGAGGCCAAGTGAATGAGGTTCAACAAGGCTCACTGCTGGGTCCTGCACTTGGGTCACAACAACCCCATGCAACACTACAGGCTTGCAGAACAGTGGCTGGAAAGCTGCCCGGCAGAAAAGGACCTGGGGGTGTTGGTCAGCAGCCACCTGAATATGAGCCTGCAGTGTGCCCAGGTGGCCAAGAAGGCCAACAGCATCCTGCCTTGTATCAGGAATAGTGTGGCCAGCAGGACGAGGGAAGTGATTGTCCCTCTGTACTCAGCACTGGTGAGGCCACACTTCGAGTCCTGTGTTCTATTTTGGGCCCCTCACTACAAGAAAGACGTTGAGGTGCTGGAGCGTGTCCAAAGAAGGGCAATGAAGCTGGTGAGGGGTCTAGAGTACAAGTCTTATGAGGAGCGGCTGAGGGAACTGGGGTTGTTTAGCCTGGAGAAAAGGAGGCTGAGGGGAGACCTTCTCGCTCTCTACAACTGCCTAAAAGAAGGTCGTAGCCACATAGGGGTCAGTCTCTTGTCCCAAGTAACAAGTGATAGGACAAGAGGAAGTGGCCTCAAGTTGTGCCAGGGGAGGTGTAGATGATTGGATATTTAGAAAAAATTCTTCACCAAAAGGGTTGTCAATCATTGGAACAGGCTGCCCAGGGAAGTGGTTGAGTCACGATCCCTGGAGGTATTTAAAAGACGTGTAGATGTGGTGCTTAGGGACACGGTGTAGTGGTGGGCTTGGCAGTGCTAGGTTAATGCTTGGATTCAATGATCTTAAAGGTCTTTTCCAACCTAAACCATTCTGTGATTCTATGATTCTAAATAAAGGGAAGATTTCAATACCTACCAAGAGAGATAGAACAATCTATTTATATCCATTTGGAAGTCTTAAATCATAAATTTCTATGATGTCATAGAAATGTCTCTCAAAAAAAGAAAGTAAATATTGAGCAAGCAAACAATTAATTGCCTAATGCAGACACTTTCAAGGTAAGATATATGTAACAAGAATTTCCAAAGCACTGCATTTCAGGAAGAAATTCTAGTTCAAGTGGCATGTTAAAATGGGGAATGAGAAAGAGCACTTTATAAATTAGGGGGTTTTAGACATTTTTGGTATAGTGTAATTTATGGAGAATTTGTTTTTAGAACAGTTTAATTATCACATAAACTTTGGAAGTATTTTTTTACTATATCTTTTTTTCAGTAGCCTTTAAAAATTCTGCAGCATTATCTGCTATATATTAAATATTTAACTTGCACAAATACATTGTTCACCAGCTCAAAAAAAACCAACAAATTTTCTACAACCTACCAATGTGACCACCTCCAATGGTGTAAGTCTTCCCAGAACCTGTCTGTCCATATGCAAACACTGTAGCATTGTATCCTTCAGTCAAAGACACTAGAAGAGGCTTAATGCAAACGGTATAAACTTCTTCTTGGGTCGAGTTTTTGCCAAATACAAAATCAAAAGTGAAGACACGGTCTTTCCCAATTATAATTTGTTGTGTATTTGGGACTAATCTCACACAGACTTGGTGGTTATGAAGTACTTCTTTAGAAAGCAGGGGTCTGATTCGAACTGCAACTTTAACTGGGATCTCCTCCATGCCAGACTCCATCCCTGTGCTCCCCACTCGGTATTCACATAGTCAACAAGAAATCTGTTACCACTCCTGTGTTCACCTCATTCACAGCTGTCTGCAACTAAGAAAGAAAGTTTTCCACGTTATATAATAAATAAGAATTAATTTCCTGCTGCAGTACTAAGTTGACATTTCCTAAAGAATACATACGCACCATTAAACTCTTGAAAAGTACATGATATGGGAGCTTGCCTCTATTAATTTCCAAGCTAGCAGACTTAACCTTAGGTCTGAAAGTTGCCCAATTGTCTATTTGAACGTAACGCAGCCATACCACTCAACGATATCACAAGAGCTTGTTAATAAACACTGTTGGTAAAGCATATGCTTACAATGAATCCTCTCATTTTCCTTTTCCTGCATTCATCTGATTCTAATCTGCATGTTTAAGCACATATGTAATTATTTTTTATTAATTCTATATTTTAGCAACCATGGTTCCTTATACTGCTCCCTGCATATTCATTCCTACAACATAAGCACTGTACAGTAGCACAATGGTAAATATCAAGGAATAGCCTTTCTTTACAGCTGCCTTTCATGAACATTCAAAAATCCTCACAGGTACCAAATGCTGATGGATCCCAAACATATCTTTTTCTTTTTTTTTTTCCCTAAGAATCTTTGCAGTGCAAGGGAAAGTTTACTGAACTTCCTACTTGCTAAACTCCCACACATTGCCTTTAAGAAAGCTGTATTATGAAACTGGCAAAATTCATCAGCTAGGCCCCCAAAAATCAAGTCTGTTGAAAACAAACAGGTTTAAACAGTTGTCTTGTGGTTGCAAAGAGAAGAGCTTTCGCATTTCATTTTATTCGATTTAGTTTGAGAACTGGGTCATCCAGAGTTGAGAAACTATCTGAAGTTGAAAAAAAAGACAAGCCCCATTTTATTAACTGAGCAGAAGTAAAACAAATAAACAAAGCATGAGATCAAAATTAGACTCATATCATAAAGGACATGGCAATCAGAAACAACTATATAGACTTGCTAACTACTGATTCAAAACATATTTTGATCAATTTCTGGTTTTATTTATCCAGGTGCATTATTTTTACCCCCTAGCAAGTACTGCTTTAAAGTGCTGACATTCCCCCCTCCCCTGTAAAATTATATTAAAAAAAATAATTAATCCGAGTCACAACGGAAAAAAAAAATAAAAAAAAGAGAGGGAAATCTTATTCTCTATTTCATAAAAGACCATGGGCCTATGAAATAGTTCCATGCCAGAGCCACAGAAATACTCTGGTGTCAATACGCTGTATGCTCTTGGTTGGCAGAAGCAAAGACAGTGGAAGGCTTTTTGCTGGCAGAAGTATTTTGAGAGCAGGCCAGTACATTTTCCACGTTTACCATGTCTCGAAGTGCGCCTTTTACTCCAAACCTGGAAGAAGCCGGGAACGTGATCACGCCTGGGTCTCGGAGTCGCCCG